GCGTCAGTCTTCTAAAAATGTTTATATCTGCAATATTCATTTAGAGTTTAAATTCTTTGGCACTAACATAAATTTTGTTTTACTATAAGGCAGGTATATTTTCATAACAAGTAGAAAAAGATAATTTGAAATATAAAATAATTAATTATTACCAATTATATCCAGTATCTGATATGATCTTTTTTCCTAAGAAACATGTGAAAATAGTAATACAGTAAACCAATATATTAATGTGATGGGTGGGGGACATGGATTGTGAGATAGGGCCCGGCAGAGGCGTATTCAGGATTTTGAGATGATGGGTGCACTATTACGAAAGGTGAATCTAAGATATAAATTTGATCGGTTTGACATTTAGGTTCTTATCACTGAAAGCCATTAAAATTTTAAAATTATAGGTCCCAAATTACTTTTTATCTATCCAAACCACTAAGAGAGGTGTTACCTAATTTTAGAAAGAAAAATAAAACAAGATAGATAAAAGATTCATATTTCTAACCTCACTTAGAGAGGTGCACCCAATCATCATCGCACGACAATATATGATACTTTAAGTGTGGGTTCACACATCAATATTTAAATATTTTTTTAAAAATATAACACTACTATATATGATTTCGAGAGGAAAATATGAGTTCATGTGAACCCGGTGACACCCTTCTGGATACGCCTGTGATAGGGGCAATATGAATAAGGTGAAGATGAAGTGCATTCGAAAATGGTTAAACACAATTAATACATATGCTTTTTGTAGAACTTATTTTCTTTACTTTTATTATGAAAATCATTTTTCTCAGTTATGAAAGTTGTTTTTTGAGAAAAGATATATTAATTTTTCAATAATTTAGATCAAAACTTATTTATACCTTAAGGGATCGTTTGATTGCCGAGACAATATAATATTGTTGAGATATACCATAGGATTATTTTATTTTATGTTTGATAAGAAATATTATTTCATTCCAGAATTATTTTAATTTTTATCCATCCAACCAAACTATCTGTTGATATAAGATTTTCTTGGACTATTAGTGCACATAAATTAAATTTGATTCATAAATATTATTCAAAAATGATGGAAGAAGTCCGTATTTTACTGGTAGTTCGACGCGTGTTGAAGCGTTAACACCGCCGGAATCTTTGGCTTCAATCGAAATATAATTAAGTAATGAACCATTGACCGTTGTTGGTTACTATAAGTTGTTACCTTCACAAATATATGTATCTTAATTATTTTAACAGATAATATTTGTTATTTGTCACAAACACATGTATTGAGTGATTAATTTTTATCTCTATTAAAATTTGATAAACTGAAAGTTGATAATGTTATTGAACTGTTTTCACATTGTTGCTAAAATGTCATCATCCAATTATATGCGCTTTTGCTAAAAATTATAATTTACACGATCAATATTTATAGTTTAAGTGGCTAGGTCCACCAGCTAGACAACTATTTTTCATATAAATAATTCACAAACATAACTACGTAAGCAGACAAGGAATTAGGTCAGTCCATAACCAACAATATTTCTCTCTGCTTCTTATTAAATACATTAAACTATATATTATAACTTCAAGTAAGCTGTTCCAACAAGATTAGTCTTATTTGAATAATTTTATGTGTGAATTATACTCCTAATGTTATTCCAAGACCCTTTGCTGCATTTCACCCAAGCAAACAATATGTGAAAAATATCAAGTACAATTTATTTAGAATGATAAAGGGAAATAGTTATCTTGTAACTTTTAATCTATTATGATTAAAATTGTAAATTAAGGTAATTATGCGTATAAATTAACTATTTAATTTAATAATAAAAATGTATGTGTAGAAGATATGTGTCATATATTTATCAAATTTGTGTAAACAATCCATGCAACTAAGTTTTTGCTTTTTACCTATAACTGAGGTTAAGCAAAAAAGTATATATGCTTTTGTCCAATACCAGATTTTTTTTTTATGTGATTTGCATTATCTCAGATTAACTGGGTTGAGATATATTTTATTTCTCTATATTCAGAAAATCTAAAGTCTCAATAGGCCAATATTTTTTTAAATAAGAGACTATTAATAAGATCTACTAGATAATTTCATATTAGAAAATCTTGATTACTCTAGAAAGTCAAAAGTTACCTTTCACTTTGTGTGAGAGATGACTTTTACCTTCTAGAGCGATATATATAAAAACAAATTCACCTTAATTTAATAAAGTTAGGTTTTGAAGATGAAAAACTCGATCTTTCTAGTAAATACTTCTTTTTTAATGAGTCTTTATTTCTTGTTTTCCCTTCTGTTTAAACAAATACTTGTTTCTTACAAGTTACAAATATATTGTTACTGCTTTTATCTTGTTTTGCTTCTTTGCGTTAATTCACTCGTGAAGTTTTAGTTGGGTGAATTGTTTGCATTTATCAATCAAATGAATGCTAAGATTCTCTCAGTACTATCCCAAGCTGATTTAGCTATGTAAAAAGCAGGTCTAGTTTTTCTATTTTTAAAAAGTGAAAGTTCCAAATTTTAAAAAAGGGAAAAAGGATAAATATACCCCCAAACTATTGTAAATGGTATGCAGATATCCTCCGTCATACTTTTGGGACATTGGTGCCATTGTCGTCCAAAAACTAGAGTATATATACCCTTTATACTAACGGACATACACGTGTCATAATCTTATCCACCGACCCGACATTTATTAAATATCGGATCGACGGATAAGATTATGCCACATGTCCCTATTTAGTCTTCCGTTAGAGTGAAGGGTATATATGCTCTAGTTTTTG